GGGGCTAAAAGGGTTTACAGGGCAGTATACAAGGGTATGCAAGGGTTTACAGGGGTTTACAGGGGTGTACAAGGGTACGTAAGGGTTTACAGGGATATACAGGGGTATACAAGGGTTTACAGGGGTATACAAGGGTAAACAAAGGTTTACAGGGGTATACAAGGGTTTACAGGGGTATACTAGGGCTTACATGGGTATACTAGAGCTACAGCCATATTCTCGCGACATTATACGTAGTCTTACATAAAGTACTAACCGACCTTACCCCAATGGATTACTCAAATGGACAAATTGTGTTGTAAAATGCCAAAAACATGAAATCATAACCGTAATACCTACAGAATGAGTGGCAGCACCCCACTCCCCCTTTAAATGTTGGAAAATGGTAAAATTCAAACTTGTGCTAGATGAAAGTGTTTTGCAACATTGCACAGGAGAGGGGAAGGGCAAAATGTGTATAGAATGATGTTTTTTCCAACCCTTGTGACCAAGGTTGTAGTTGCCAGTGCAGAATTGTACATAATGAACAACTACTGAAAGCAAAAACGTCCAAAAAGCGTAGACGACCGCAAGGCCGAGGACAAATGAATTCACATTTTACCTGCGAAACACGCGGCGATACTCTAAAGTTCTTTACTTTGTTTTTCACCGTCAAAACTAAATCTGAAACACAGGGATAAACTAGAAATTTAAAAAAAATATCCGTCTAACAGAGGTAACTCACCAGCTATCTGTCTAAACTAGAAAGAGCATCGTAGGGTTATACTGCAATGCTTAGATGCTATTGTGGCCCTCGTTTAATAAAACAGGTATTTCGCCACAGGTAATTATGATGATGCTTTGAGGGATGGAAAATATGCAAGTAAGTTTCAACCAAAAAAAGTTACTATATTATCACTTTCATTCAGTTGTTATAGCTATCATTATTTATACATTTAATTCCGTATTTATTTCTGTAATTATTTTATTATTATTATTATCTATTATTTGTTTTTATTTTTAAATTTTATAGTTGCCGTGATAACTCAAGACTTTTTGCCGGCTAAAACATGTAGATGATGTAGATAGAAATTGATATTGTTATATATCAGGTGCTTATCACTAGGAGCGTGCAACTACCACTTCCACGTCACGGCAGTTTCACAGACCGATCTATTTTTGTTTTGAATTTACCGCTAACTCAGATCCCCGCAGGAACGTCAGTGACCAATCACAAGCACGGACCTAACTTTTAACTAACGTCATCAAAAAACAAAATGTGAGACCGCCATTTTTTTCCTTACCGATGCGCGCTCATGTGGACCGGAAATGACCTATTTCGCGGGAAAAGAAGCCTAAAAATAGACCGGTTTGTAAAAATGCCGTGACATAGACTTTGTATGGGAATTGTACGCTCCTAGTGATGGGCTCCTGTATATATCTGGAAATACCATATGCACAGATAAACAGGCAGTAAAATAAGATTATTTACAAGTATTACATGGGGAGCAGGGATGGCGCGGTGGTGAAAGCGCTCTCCGGCCCTCCTACCAATGTAGCCGAGTTCGATTCCGGCCCGATGCCATACGTGGGTTGAGTTTGTTTTTGGTTCTCGCCTTGCTCCGAGGGTTTTTCTCCGGGTATACTCCGGTTTTCCTCCCTCCTCAAAAACCAACATCTCCAAATTCCAATTCGACCAGGACAGAGGACCTGCATGAAAACCAGCTACTTCCTCTCTAAATATTGTAATTTATTTACTATTTACATGACGGAGAAAATCACTTCACTCTGGCTGGCTGAGGGCAGGCAAATCTATCGTTAATTTTTAATTTGCATTGCAGTTCGTATTAATACAAGCGCGTTTATAATTTTCTCCTTCATACAATAAATGAGTAATCGTTTGAAACCGGCTTGGGCAATTAACGATTTATACTCTTTAGAACTGCACTCGCCCAAAAGCTCGTGTAATTTTGAGAGAACTTTTAAACATCACATCACTCATAGTGTCAATCCTTAACTGCACTCGCATTTGCACGGCTATCCACGCGTATTATATGGCTAACTCCGTGAGCGGGCAAGATGAATCAAATCCTGCGCTGTGAATGGCTACCCGAGTGCGCAAGGTAGATCCATCTTGCCCACTCGGGACTACCCGCCGTGTCCCGCAAGAAAAATTTCCCCGAGAGCCATGTAATAAGTCCTTTGTTGACCAAGCTTGTTCGGTCAAGATGGCTTGATATTGGCCTCGGGTTTTTTTGTTTTGGTTTTTTTGGTTTTTTTTGCGCGTCCATAAACACGCAGAAAAAGAACTTGACCAATATCCAGCCCACTCGACCTCACACTTGGTCAATAACCCATATTTATTATATGGCTTTGACTTGTGGCCGATATAACGCGCGCTCTCATTGGCTAGGAGCGAGATCTGAGCGGTCATTATGCAGCCGTAATGCCCACGGGCCGATAACCCTTCATATGAATGGTTTTGAACTTATACTCGTTTTAACAGAGGTAAAAGGCAACTCGCAAATGGCCTATTCACAAGTGCTTGTGCTTGTGCGAGAAGGTTGGCCATTTGCTTTCCAAATTAAATGTCCAACAAAGACAAGCCGATTTTTTAACATAGCTGCGAAGCTTAGCAGACTTCAAGAAAAGATATCACATTGAGGTTGATGCCGGAATAAACTTCTCCTGTTTTAGTCCCCTGAGCCTTGCCCAATTTCTTTACGTACGGTGAAGCCTCTTTTATCCGCGTTGTACTCTAACATGTTATCGGCAAAGATCACGCGCAAGATGCAATGAAGCTTCAATTGGCTGAATTGAATTTAGGAAAAGAGAATCAGTTTCGCATTTCTTATCTTCGCAGGGTACTTAACTTGAACGCTAAGGACAAGTTTGGCTGATATCAGTAAGTACATGTTGTTTTTCTTTGCAAGGTAATCAGCATGTGACGTCTTATAACCCTTGTCTTTTCATACTTTGAGCAATGAAATAAGCGAACATAAGGTGAAGGCACTGCTGTTATTGATAGTTAACTGGCGCTAGCCTGTTTCAGGCTCTCGGTCAGATGGGACGATTGAAAAAGCGGGCGGGCGACGAGCGGGGTCTGGAAAAGAAAGGGAGAGGCTAAGCTGACGGATGAATGAAAACACTGATGACAATACTAACAAAAGAAATAAGTTTTACTCATTAAGTTGTCCTTTTTTCTCTTGAATTCTTCAAGCAAAATACCACTTAAGGATTCGTAATAATATTGTGGTAACATAGTTGATATATTGTTCACCATTACAAATAACACATATAAATTGAAGACTGAAGATCCAAATGCTCGCCCCAGTTTCTTTCAGTTGATTGTTAAAGTGGAAATTCCTGTGACAAGGGATGTATCACATTGCGACTTGACCGAGCATGATGAGTTCAGTCCGTACTACAACCTGCTGAAGATAGCCAAGAGGGAGCTTGAGAAGTACAATAGCCCCAGAGACAAAATCAAAGAATGAGTTCCTAGTTTTTATCTTCCTTTCAAGTGTTGTAACTTTCGTCTGCACAAAAGTAACTATAACCCACTCACTAGGCACTAAAGATTAAGATTAGGTAAGTAGGTAAATATGAAAAGGAAAGAGTAAAATTTTGAAAAGTTAAGTTGCCTATACAGATGTTGTAGCGAATGCCATATTCAAAATAGCATAGAGTAACTGTCTGATCCGTAAGGAGATGTTCGACTGTACTGGTCAGTTTTGTAAACTGACCAGTAATAACATCCTTGTAACAAACTAAAAGGAATATAGAAAAATTAAATTAAGTATTCGTACTGTCAAGGTGTGAAGACATTCCATCCCGAGGACAAGCCTATCTGTACTTCGTCTACCTTGACTGTGTCAGCTAAAATAGGTATTAGCGAGAATGTCATATTACGCTACCTTCAAGACCATATAATTTGCTACTTCTTTCATGAAAAACCTAATTCCATTGTTGTAATGACCTTTTTACAGAAGGTCAGCTATCATGGGAAACCCACAGTCGTTTAACACATCGTACAGACCACCCACACTTGTGGGCCTTTGATTTGCAATGAAGGATAAGACAGCGTCGCATGGGTTCAGAGTTCGGTTGTCAAGGAAACGAATCTCTCGTGGCGTCAAGCCCAGTCTCTCGGCAACCACTTTCCATTCATCCCCACCTACAAGAGCAAGAGAAAATCTCGTAAAACGTTTTTCGGGTGACGTAAGTTATTTTGTATTCTTTTATAAGTGTTGTTTTGAGTCATAGGATGCCCTGGTCGATCCTTCCAACAAAATATATAGTGTGGCATTGTATGATTCATAATAGACTGCTAACTCCACGGTTACGAACAAAACATGAACAGCTGTATTCTTTTTAGCTTTGAAAATGACGCCTACATGTGACGAGGATATCTTACTACTGTGGAAAGAAAACCTACACAAAGTTAGGACATGGGACATGTTTGTGGCATGCAAACACATTTAAAGTTCACCTTTTTTCCAACTGATCATCTTGTAGTGTGACCACTCCAACCAAGGCCACCTGACAAAATTTTCTACAAATTTAACGAATAAAATCGTGGAGGTTGAACAAATTATCCATAATGACCACAAATCTGTGCCTTTGTAATGTACAGCTTGATGACTTAGATTATTTTTGGGAAAACTATTGTTAACCTCCACGATTTCTATTCGTTAAATTTGTGGAAAGTTTTGTCGGGTGGCCTCGGTTGGAGTAATACGCGTACTAAACTATAAGTAGCACTTACTACTCAGGTCAATCGTAACCTCTCTTCTCTGAGAAACAGGAATATTCCGGACATCAAGGTGTTCACGCAACAGAGGACCTAGAGATGAGAAACCGAGTGTTTAGAGAGGAATTAAACAAAGTGGTCTAATATAGAAAGATAAAGAGAGCTTAACACAGAACAAAAACAAAACACTCTAAGGGCACTCTAACAGCAACGATAATTAATTGTTGATACACTTTGTACATTATGCAACGTGCTATACAGACTGTAGATAACTGACTCGCGATAAACTGATATCCACTTTTAATTACAGAAAGACACAACTACAGGAAGTGAAAAACAGTTTTGGGAGTTGAGGGTCCCTGTTTAACAACCCGTCACTTTAGCAGGGTGATCTCCTATCATGATTGATGAGCCACGTTTGCAGCTTACAATTTAACTGATAGCTAGCACACTAGCAAAAGTTTGATATCAAGAACTACACGAAACTGTAAATCTCGAATGTAAATCACACATTACTCGGTGCTTTCAGTGACAATGCCTAAAAGAATTTGTGGTCGAAATCAATAGCCACGCATTGTCAAATAACACAGACAAGCGGCAATCATCTGCGGTTAAATTCTGTTCAAAAGGATGGTCTATTGAAAAATGTCGCATCAATACAACACGTAACCTGCAAGGGAGAATGTCAAGCAACACTGGAAGGAGTTATTGTAGAGCGTTTTTGTCCCTAACAAATGCAAAACTGGCTGCTTCTGGTACATTGACACCATGCGAATCGTAATCAATTGATTACAATGAATAAGAATCATTCTTTCAAAGCATTATCTTCACCTTGGACTGAAAAGAACAATTTATAAAACATTTTCCTCGTTTTTCATGAAATAAGAAGTGCTGTTCGATTTTCTAAAATCCGCAAATTAAAATGATTTTTATGATGGGGCGGTTCAAAAATGTCTCAACAAAATGCCGCTATGACGTGTAGGATACAAAGAGTATAAACAACTAAAAACACTCTGCTTCGACACTGTCAGACTCACCCGTGGTTCCAGCGGGTGTAATTTCCCTCAAGTATTTCACTACATCAGGCCTGTTTGATTGTTTAGCTTTTCTTGCCAAGCAGCGGATCAATCTTTTGGTCTCGGGTTCTGGATGTTCCAGGGAATCGTGTTCAACCTGCAGTTGCTCTCTCAGCTGAAGTATAATATCTTTGGGATCACATGACTTTGACAAGAGAGATTCCTGGACCTTGTGAGGTATAGCAAGGGATTTTTCTTCACTTCCTACATGTAGGGACAGATATTAACAATTTGATAACTCATTTGGTTAAAAGAGTTGTAGTGTTGTTGGCTCGTATACGATTAACAGCGCAATCCTCTATTTGAACTGCCGAACTTGATGCTCATTGCCACCTTAACCTACACCACAAAGTGAACGCTTTGAAAAATCTATTCTAAACTTCATCGGAAAGGGTAAAGTAGTTGATCATCTTTCCTCCTTTAATAGGTTTCAAAGACTAAGATAATGAAAATATACTCTGAAGTGGGGTGCGTTAAGCGTGTAATTAACACGCTGTGTTTGGGTAAGTCAGTATCAGCATTAAACTCTTACACCCATGTCAGGGAAACATTTTTATCTTTTATGTGCTTCACTCCATTCATCAAATAAATTAACTGAGTCAGGGAATTGTGTTCTGCCAATCCTATAAATTGACGATCGAAATTTAAAGCCTGTAATGCACCAGTATCCTTAGCTGGAGAGTGTCGGCATTTTTGTTACTGATACAATCTAATAGCACTATAAATCCTTCCTACTCCGATACAGCAGTCAAACAAACAGAGAAACAAAAAACAAACAAACCTTTCTCAAGAGACAGATTTACTCCATCCCGTTCATCAATTGGTAGCTGTGGTAAAAATGAAAAAAAGAAAAAGAGTTATAGTGTTACCTTTCACTGCATCGGCTTACGAAACGCTAACACTAATTACGAGCTCTGCGCATATTCAGAAGCTAATTATTTTGTGGTTTATTGGTTATATATAATTTACCTGTTCCCTTAGGGATGCAAACCATGGTGCAAACTTCTTAACGTGGAACTTGTTATTCTGAGCAGCAGCAGACTTGGTGCACTTGGCGACATGTTGATTACCGCGTAACATAGACTCAGACCAGAAGTGCAGGCATTCTTCTTGCTTGCAGCCTTGTGTGTGATGAACACGGCAGTAGATAACTGCACGTCCTTGGCAACAGATAGGGCAAATGACACGAAGGTCATATCTCATATTTCTTAGCCAACAGAATTCCTTACGCATGCACTCAAGCATCAATTGCAGTTGCCTGCACACGGCACGAGCACAAGTCACATCAAATACGTCAGGACCCACATCTGTAGACACGTTCATCTTTGTCCGTAAATCGTCTGCCAACTGAACACCCACATTACCTCTGTGAAAAACAATTTCAATGGACGACGAATGACACAGGATGATTACAGAACAGTCGTCATCTCCAAAGGTGAAAAATCTGACAAAATTGTGGTACAACTGAGGGTTCATTGGGCTCCACAATTCTGCTTTGCCCCATTGAAAAAACTGCAGCACCAGTCGGGGAAACAATCCTGGTGGAACATGACCACATTCAAATTTAATGAAAAGGGAAGGAATTTGAGCAGATGCAACCAGCTTGGCGATGTCTTCTGGTGGATGCGACATCAACATGGATGGCACCAGGTATTTCTTGGAACATGAAGCATCTGAAGAAGGCCATGAACAAAGCAAGCTGAATTTCTCCATGATCGCTACAAGGCTATCGCAGGTTTCTCTGTTGTCAAACAAGGGACCCCAAACATGCTCTAATAGCTTTTCATCTAGGATTCCTGTCGTCTCAAGATCAAACCACAGTTCTCTAAATCCCTCCTCTTGATGGCAATATGGCTTAATGGTTATCACCTTCTTAAACACATCAATCAACCACTGAGGGTCCAACACCAGAAATCTACTCAATTCCGGCGTGTCATCAAAATGAATCACAACTCTCTGGTCATGTAAAAAATCGAGCAACGTCTCGAACTGTTTGTCATCGACAATATTGCAGACTTTAGACGCGATTTGCTTGGCCCTTTCAAAGGTAACCCACTTGTTGCCGTCTTCCTTCATGACTTGAAGTGCCTTCTCGTAATGTAACCACTTGATCGGAATGGATTCTTTCATCTGCGGTAGCTCCCTGGCAACAGCATGTACCTCCTTCCTCAAGCGAGTGACTTCTGGGCACTCAGATTGGAGCCCTGACTTCGTGTTATCCACGGCAAAGACATTCCCATACAAGTGAGTTTTGTATGGCTTAGTGTGTAGAGAACCAAATATCTCTTTGGCTAGTGTCCTGGGATCACGACCACCATGAGGTGCATCAGCATGAGTGCACACCAAGAACACAGGGGGAAGATTCGCCGGCAACATCCCAGAACTAGAAGTCACTTCATGGTTTCCATCTTGATTGGCCAACGAAGCAACAGAAGTCATCCAAAAATCGAGGTAATCCAAATTGGTTTTCGGGCCAAAGCTGTCTTCAAATTTCTTGAACGTCCCTTGCCTAATAACAGGTTTGGCTCTTTCGAGTGGACCTCGGCTGAGGTCAAACACCAAAAGGTAGATGGCCCTAGCAGTCAGAAAAAGTGGATGGGTTGCATAATAAACTGACTGTCCACCAAAATCCCATAAGACGGAATAGATGTCTTCTTTGTCATCTACCTTATCAACTTCTTTGAGCAGTCTTTCAATCAGTGTGGCTATCTTTTCTGGCATTTTGGGTATGACAAGAGGAGTGTCATCTTGCTGCCTCTCTGTAAGATCAGATGTGCCGCATGCTGATGTGTTAGGATGACGTGTTTCATTAGGTCCTCGATTATTTGATGTCAAAATAGACTCTGGATCAGCTGGCATCTCACAAGATTCTGAATCTTTCGAGCCACCGGAGAATTCAGCGGTATCATGGCTAATTACATCAGGGACATGTGAAGGTTCTAAAGTGAAATCATCCTTTACACTTGATAAGACTTCGTCAATCAAGGGAATGCTCTCTGAGGGGACAGATTCCATTCTCGCAGATTCCTCAAGAGCACCTTTTTCCTCCCTCAATGATTTAACAACCAATCGTGCTGCATGGTGTTCATAAGACACGGCTGTATCAACATTTGCCGTTGGATTCGTCTCTCCTGCCTTCCAAGTCTCGGTTGACACCTCAAAATGTGAAGGATCTATATTTATCCCTACAGTGCTCTCTTCATCTCGGTTGAAGCGTGTTCCTATCAGTGAATTCTTCAAGCTGGTCTTTCCTGCACGATCTTGTCCAATTAACATTACTGGCACCCTCTTGACGCAAGTCGTTCCCTCAGCAAGGGCCTTGTTGTAAGCTTCCAAAGCCAAGTTTCCACGTGCAAGAATCTCTGGAGGAACCACTGTGTATGTAAAATACCAAGTAAATAACTCTAGCTCCCCCTGACTCCACAAGAAATTGGTTAAAGAATGTTTATACTCTTCAGCTCACCTGACTTTCAACTACCAGTACAACGTTTAAAAGATCTAACCCGGTACGGTTGAAGGCATTACCCCTTAGAGCTTTCCACACAGACTCTCCATAAAACTAGTGATACACAAATCAAGGGATAGTTTAACTTAGAAAATATTCGGACCCGTCTCTTTCGGACAAGATAATATATCATGGTATTTCATAGCGGTAAAACGCAAAACGCAACGTCACTTCCGGTTTTCGTGGCCTTGAAGTTTGTAACAGTCTAGCGAAAATGTACAAGACTTTCGTCAGAAAATGAACGAGCAGTGGTAAATCAAAGTACGTGCCGACAAAGTAGGAAGATATCAACTACTAATACTGTATGTATACATGCGACGTTTAGCGGCAGTTTTGGCGGGAACAACGGCAGACACTGTGGGCACTGTTTGACCGCTGTGAAGAAATATACTAAAGAAATATAAAAAATAGCAAAAATATGTTAAATAAGAACAATACTTGGTAAGCAGTTCTCTATGATAAATTCCTTTACCTTTCTCTGCCTCCTCTTGCTCTACAGCCAACTGTCGTTCATCCTCATCCCTGCAAAAGTTCAAGAATACAGTTGTTACCTTTTTCAATCTGCTGCAGTTTCGAAACTGGAAGGCATGTGAGCTTACATACAGTGCATGGAAGAAAATAATGGCATACGTACTGTGAAATTAACTTGGTAGAAACACATTGAAAAATATATTGTTGCTCAATGACATGAACTAAGTTAATCAATGCGACATGGAAAATAATTCAGAGTTCACACATCATGGGTCAAACCTAAGAGACTCCGCTAGACCAAATTCATGTAACATGTACATTTAAAATAAGTACACTCATACACTCAATATAAATTTTTAATAACATCAGTTAATACTATTTCAAATGTTCATTTAGAGTTGCAAACATAGAAGTGTGGAATTTGAACTTACACATGCAGCACACATAATCTAAGAGCAACTGCCCATAAAGTTAGAGAAACAAGTTACAGAAAAACTACGTTCATACACCAGGGTATTTTCCACCCAATCTTTTGAACTCAACCCATTCATCTTCACCACTTCCCCTTACTGTCTATGAATCTTGATTGTATTCCCTGACAGAACAAAAAAAATAAAAATTGAAAACATAGTTTCCATTTTTTGGTAGGGGGCCTTCATATAGGGTTAACCTTCAGGTCCTACTTTTCAAATGTGTCATGTTATACAGTGTGTCTGTGCTCTAGCAGTGTCCCGTTGCCTCAGGCAACTGGCTTCCATCTTCATGCAACAAGAAAAACATACCTAGTCGCCCAGCTGGGCGATCTCCTTTTTGAGATTTAACTTAGAGATGAAAACAGTCTTACAATAACTTGTCTTTCCCTTTTTGATTTCTTGTGTTGTATTGAAGTTTACGAGGCAAAATGGCTTAATTCAGAATGTTTAAATCCATCTGGGAAGTCAAAACATCGGTTGTTTAATGGCTCAGTTCGATGCGTGCGTTTAACACTGGCCTGCAGTGATACAGAAGGCAGTTTCCTTGTATAAGTTGTACAGCGTCAACAAGAAGTCTTCTAAGTTCTTGTGGTTTGTATATTGTGCATGAAAAGTCCCTAATTGAAGGATAATGTGAACCAAATTATCAGAAGCACAGAGGGCAAAGAGGGAAAAAGAACTTAACTTTTTCACATATATCAACCATTTTAACTGAAAAAACGTGTAAAATTTTGTCTTTCTTTGTGGACTTTTCACAACAGTACAACAGAAAAATACACCTTTTATCTTTGGCATCTGTATATAGGATAAATGCCCTAGAAACAATGCAAGACATTTTTATTTGAGGGTCAAGTGGTTATCATTTAATTAATAACATTATTATTAGATAATTATAATTAATTAATCAATTGATAAATTTTTGATTTTTTGTTTCGTTCGGGCTACCAAGCTTGACTTCTGGGCACCCTAACCTACAAGGTTGGGTGCCTGAAGGGCTCCCTAGAATTTTTCTCAGAGCACAGCCTTGTACAGTATTTGAATTTTATGTCAGAATGTTTCTTGTTTATTGTACATTCAGTAATCACACTTGAACACCACCGCTACACTGTAGACTGCTGTACAACATTTGAAGACTGCAGATTACATTTAGGCCTAAACAGCAATCCTGTTAGTCTGAATATCATTTAGGTTAGCCTGAACAGCTTAGGTTAACCTGTTGCTCACCGTAATGAAAATGGGAATACGATATCAGTTAAAGAGTATGCGGTCTGCAGTCCTCAAATGTCATACACCGATCCAGAATTCCACTGCACTTACCAGTTCTCTTGTTCATCATGTGAGTCACCAACCGGTGTCTTCAGCAAATTCTTGAAATCTGACATTATAGTGTCCATTTCTTGCTTTGCCTCTTTGTCTTTTTCACCCAAGGCAGAACAAAGACTTATGCACAGTTTAAATGCTAAAGAAAGAATATCTTTGATGCTTTCTAGTCTGTCCGTGTGCGCAAGCATGATAACGGGAAATTTATCACGCAAGTTTCCACTCTGGGACTGTTCTTTACACAATGTCACAGCCTTTTCAAGCAAAGGAACAATTTCTGAATTAATAACTTCATTGAAAATACAATGCCTGCTACATTTTACACTTCTGTCATGCAGAACCACAGCTAGATGAACATAAGACTGAAGTTTTGGTTTAAAATGAGTCACTTGCTCCTCTCGCATGAACAACGACTTCTGATGGAAACTAACAGCTTTTTCCAAGTCTCCGATCTCATGATGGATGCATCCTAATTCAAAGCATGAGTCACTTCTGAAGCTTCCAGAAGTAGCATCTATTGCATCTTTCCCCATCTCATGCAGTGCTCTGGTCTGAGCTTGGAGAGCTTTCTCAAGATCCTTTCTTTGCCGGTACAGATATCCAAGCCAATGATGGCAAACTGCATTTGACACATTTCCCTTTCCAAACATGATCTTGGATTCTAGAGCTTTTTGAAATGACACCATAGCTTCTTGAAAGTGTCCTAGGTGACTTTCAATAACACCCATCTGAAAGTGACATTGGCCGAGGAAGAATGAACTGACTGTGTGTCCCAAGCTGATATATCCTTTAATGGCATTTCCAAGGGCGTCCTTACCTCCAGAATAGTCCCCTTGTCCAAAGAGAAACATGCCATAATCAAACCAAGTTTCAGAGGCTTTCTCATTCATTCCAAGAAGATGTTGTAGTTCTAGGATAAGCTTGCACATTTCAATGTAAAATTGTGGATTTGCAGTTTGCAAACTATGTTCAGCTACAAGTTTCAATGAATCTGAAAACTGGACCTTTCTTTTCTTAGATGCTGCAAAATGATCATGGCATTCCTCTTTGGCAGACTGAAGCATACCCTGCAGTACAATAATTCAAATATATATTGTATAAACATGTCAGGGTATTACAGAAGTGCATGAAGTGAAGGCAGTTGCTGATTGGTGTATTGCTTGGCTTGAAAATTCAAAAAAATAATTTGCACAGCAGAGCTTTATATTATTTAATACCATTGAGAAGTAAACTTGATTCTGATGGCTTAAAGCAGTGCAGTTTAAGTGCAACACAAGTGCAAAAACTATAACACCAGTGCAAATTACAGTGAAGGGTTAGTACAAAGACACTTAAGACTGGGCCTGACAGTCAACTGAGGTCTTTTGATTATGGTCAAACTTCACCCAAAGTCTTCTGAAGATACATGTAGCAGAAGACCACTTGAAAATTTCTGAAAGTTTTCCAACGTCATAAGGTTTGCAAATTAACTTTTTGAAAATTCTGAAGATATATGGAAAATGAAGGGCACTGCCTGCTGCATTAGTAATCAACTAATGTACAGCAAAAAGCTGTAACTTAGGCCAAAGTATGGTACACTTTGGCCTGATACAATGATAATATAGTATAGTAATATCAAAACTTAGAGCCTGTTCACATGGAAGTGGGGGACCTCGGGCAGGTAAGGTCCCCGTCTTGATGGGGTAACCAATCTACCCATACAATCTCTCCTTTTTTTTGATTGTGTTCACATGTTAGGTGGGGTAGCCCAACAAGGTGGGTTACCCCGTCAGCCAGTGCGGGTAACCCGCTTCAGTGGGGTGAATCTTCTCCATGTGAAAGCTGCAGAGTGGGGTAACCCACCTAACTGGGGTAATCAAATCACTGCTTCAAAGCTCTCCAAAACACACGGCAGAACAACATGGCTGCCAACCGCTATGAGCATGGTGTAATATATTCGTAACCAGAAGTTGTGTTAAGCTGTTGTATTACCCAAGATGCTTAGAGAATAAAGTTGTTGTGTTGAGCAAGCCTCGTCAACTTGTGTTGTTATGTCACTGAGCCATACTTTTGCTAGTATGTTTCATTTTGGCGACGAGGATGGGATACTCTACATGCATGAAGACACATGAGAAATCCAGTGAAGTTTTGATTTTCTCTGTGTGAGGAAAAAGGTTTGTTTTCGACCGAGGCAACTTGATCAAAGGTTGAGCACGTGCTATCAAAATGGCGGGAATTGGATTGTTTGGTCGTGTTGGCGAGTTCAGCCCTGAGCGAGAGACTTTTCGTTCC